TTTTTTTTTTTTTTTTTTTTTTTTTTTTTTGCAAAAATGACTAGAAATATATAAGTAGAATTTTATAGTTTGGAAATTGTGAAGTGTTAGGGATTAAAATTATACTGAGGATTAGAGTTTTCCAAAGGAGCAAACTTATAAGATTAATTATATCTAGCAAATTTTCTATAAAACTCTGGATTAAAGAATATAGCCTTGTTTGAATAGGATTTAAAATTAGATTTTGAGATATTGGAAATTTAAATTAATAATAACCCAATAATCTGAAAAAAAAAAAAACCCCACTCGAAAAATTTAGGCTTGGGTTCACCCGATTAATTTTTGGGTTGAAAATCTTTATCCGATTAATTTTCGAGCTAAATTGAAGTTCATCTAAAAACACAAAATTGACCTGATTATCGTTTAGATTATTAGATAGATCGAGTTTGAATTAAAAGAGATTTTTTTGAGCTAAACATGTCATGTTGATCTAAAAAAATGCACGATTTGTATGATAAATTGGTTGTGCTCGTTCAAGTCAAGCCAATTTCTGGTTCAAAATGTTTACCTGTATGATTAACAAGTAGGATTTGGATCAAACATTCAGGTTGGATTAACTTTAGGTTAAATCGGAACCCTACCACACCCCTATTGAAGACCATTGTCAACAAATTAAGATGCATCGTTGAAAGGGACCTTCTAGATTTTAGTCAAAGAAAACTATCAATTTCTTACACCATATTTAATCAATTGAATTATTATTTGTTATGGACAATTTTGATGTACAAATTAATTGAGCATACAATCCAACTTTTATCAAAATAATCATAAATTACCCATCGTTGCTTGTCCGGGTGGTGAAGAGTCGGCTGGGCAAAGCCTAGGTCCCTGGTTCGAATTCCTTGGCAAGTAGTGAAAGCCTTAAGTGTTGGCCAGTGTAAATTGGTATGGGTTGCAGGCTAGGTCGACCGAGGTTTTCACTAGCCTAAGGACAGTGCTTCCTCGTCACAAAAAAAAAAAATCATAAATTCACCCAAACATTCTATACCCACCTAAGCATACCAAATGAATATTATCAAGTCTTGAATTTAATAGGATAATCCACCTAAAACTTACATTGACATGTCATATATCTTTATCTTTACCCTTTCTAAAAACAGTTCTATAAAATCATAACATAAAAGCAAAGGAGAAAACATTTGCTTAAACAGAACTTTTAAATCAACTACATATTGTATCTCAACATCTAATACATTGTAATGTATATGTATTTATATTAGTAGAAATTAGTAAAGTCCTAAAGCTATAAGAGCTTCCAGCCGTAGATGAGGAATTAGGTAGTTATCAACTTTCGGCTGAGATGCTTGTTGTAATAGCTAGTGTTAGTTGACAAGGAATATGGAGCATGCATGCAATCATGTGTTTTGCTACCTCTAGCACTACTGTTAGCAAGTCCCCTCAAATTGATGACACGAGATTGGAGCGTTAAATTGTCTATAAGAAGAAGAAATTTGGTATTATGAAGACCTTTTGTAAAGAAGTCAGTTGTTTGATCTGTGAAGGAGATATGATGAACGATAATAGTTGTAAATTTAATATAGCACAAATAAAATAGGGATCTATTTCAATGCGCTTGGTTCAGGCATGAAAAATTAGATTGTTAGCAAGGTGTTTGATCGAAATATTATTACAATATATGGGAGTTAGATGTGGAAAATTTATGTGAAACTCTATGAGTAATGTTCGAAGCTAGATGATTTCGGTTGCAGTTGTAGTGAGAGCTCAATATTCAGATTCTGTGGAGAAAAGTGACTTTGTGGATTGTTTCTTAGCACACCGGTTAATGAGATATGATCCATGAAAGACACAGTACCCTATAGTATATTTTTGATCCAATTTATCCCCACCCCAATCAGCATCTACAAAGGCATGTAACACTTGATTTCCTTGTGTGAAGATGAAGAGTACCTTTTGTTGTAGTGAATAGTATGCTTGAGCATCTGAAAATGTTTGTTGAGAGGTGTGTGCATATGTTGGCAGACCTGATTTACAATAAAAGATAGGTCAGGTCGAGTGATTGTAAGATATTGGAGTGAACCCGCAAGGTGAAGATGGATGTGTGGATCGGAGAACTGTAGAAGAGCAGTCGGAGAATTATCATGTTTGTTGGTTATAGGGTTTTGTATTGGTTTACACATTGTCATTCTAGCTCGGTTTAAAATGAAAGTGGCATAATTGAATTGATGTACAAGTAGTCCATTAGCATATCGTTGCGCTTACATCCCAAGAAAAGTATTCAATTTGCCTAGATTTTTACGTTGGAATTGATGATATAGGTTAGTTGGTAGTTTGGATAGTATACTTGAATGATTTCCCACTAGTAAAATATCATCTACATAAATGAGCAAGTAAAGAGAAAAGTTTTGAGTGGAATAAAGATCCTTGTTGAGTTGAATGAGATAATCTATGAAGGTTGAAAACCACTATCAAGGAGCCTTTTTTAATCCATAAAGATCCTTGTTGAGTTGACAAGCATATGTAAGATGATTGGGGTCTTTAAACCCTAGAGGTTTAGCCATGTATACTTTTTTTTTCAGAGAGCTTTTTCATTAAGGAAGGCATTTGAAACATCTATTTGATTGATTTGCCAATCATTGTAAATAGGTATTGCCAAGAACATATAAATGGTTTGTAATTTGGCAATATGGTTAAAAGTTTCTATAAAATCTAAATCATGTTCTTATTTATATCCTTCTGTGACGAGATGAGCTTTGTAGGTTGGCATAGAACCATCATCATGCAATTTGGTACGAAAAAGCCACTTACTACCAAGAACATTTTGAGTAGAATGGGGAGGAACTAAGGTCCAAGTACACTGAGTTTATAATGTTTGAAATTCATCAGACATTACCTTTCGCCAAAGAGGGACTTTGACTTCTGAAGTATAACAGATTGGATCTATGGAATGGCTATAAGAGTGGAACAAATTGAGAATGGACCATGCTTTGAGATGACTAGATTGAAATCTGGTATGCATAGGATGGACTTTGGTTGCAGGTGGAGGTAGGTCTGCATGAGAAATTGAAGAAATTGAAGGTGGATTGTTGTTTGAAGAGTGGGGAGAGTAGGTGGAGTTAATTGGACTTTGGATTGTTACTGGTGAATTGGTAGGTAATATAGTGGAGGTTGGAGGTATGTAAGCATTTGAATAGAATGTCGAGGACAAGTGTTAGAGGAGGAGAGTATGAGAGGTTTTGATGATGTGATGTACCTATATGAGATGGAGAAGAATGTTTAAGTCGAAAGATTTGTTCATTGAAAGGAAACATTAATACATGTGCAAACTTTTCCTTTGACCAATTTTAGACAAAGGCAACCTTTGGATGCTTTAGCATATTCTCGGAAAATAGATTACATAGCTTTAGGTGCAAGTTTGTGATGTGTATGAGATGGAAGAAGAGGAAAACAAGGACAACCAAAGACTTTAAGGAATCTATAAGTTGGTTGTTTGTGATTCAACACTTAAAATGATGAAGTGTTATTTGTGATAAGAGATGGTAGATGATTTATGAGATAGATAGTAGTAAGAGCAGCATATATCCAAAGTTGATATGGCGAGAAATAGATAGGATAACTAGATGTCTCTCCTCTCTGTGCTCCCCAACTTGCCTCTCTTCCTCGCACTCAGAGACCACAACAGACGATGAAGAGAGAAGCCCTCGTTCAAGAATGCGAAATGGCAAACCAAAGCATGCGAGCAAAAGGAAAAAAAATACTAATTTGGCGGTTCATTGAAAACCTAATATGTGCTTCTTTTCTATTGCTCAGAAGTCGGACCACTCGGTTCGCTGTTTTGCTTCGCAAATCAGAGCCACGCATTACACCATACGCTCGAGAACCAAGGTACTCAAGCAGACCGTGCTTCGAATCAAATTGGAGCTTGATTATCTAACGAGCTTGAAATTCAACTTGAGCTCGATACTAGATAAGTTCAACTCTTGAGCTCATTAACGAGTCAAGTTCAAGTTGGCTCACGATTCGGCTTAACTCATTTGCACCCTTAATCCCAGCAAGGGTGTCAATATTTGACACGACCAGAAAACCCGACTCGAAATTGACCCAAAAGTTCTAGGTTGGAGTAAACATGTTTGTAAAATATGTTGGGTTCGGGTTCAACAAATCGACCCATTTCAAAAATTGGGTCGGGTTCGGGTTGAGCTGGAAACCCAAAAATGACCCGGAATGACACAGCTGCCTACGCCTGCTGCCTGCTTGCTTCTGCTGCCCACGTCGAGCCCGCCTGTCCGCTGCCTCCCGCATCGAGTCCATGTCACGTTGAGCCATCGATTGTCGCGTCTCTTGCACCCCGTCTGCTTCATTGCCGAGTCGTCGCTGTCACGCTCTGCCGGCGTTGTCGAGCCACTGTCGTTGTTCTAGAGCGTGTCGAGTTAACCTGGTAACCCGTGCAGGTCGGGTCTGGGTCTAAACTTTCGTCCAATTTTTATAACTGGGTTGGGTTAGTGTCAACCCGTTTGAACCTGAAATAGTTTCGGGCTTAGACTCAAAACTCGATTTGACACCCCTAATCCCAGCTAGTTGCTAACTTGACCACCATGCGTTTTAATAGAGTACCATTCCCAAAGGAGTGCTCATTAACAAAGCCTTTAACGAGAAAAAATAATGCACAATCAAATATGTATAAGCATTAAGCATTAAGCATTAATTTTCATTGTTCACTAAAATCATTAAGATGTGATCTAATAGCTAAGCCAGGCCAAAATCTTCCAAAGCTCACAACATCGATCGTTCATTCTAACATAGCCTCTACTGCGCTTCAAGCAGATAAAACATGTTATAATATGGAGTTCAATCTGAGTTGTGACATATGAGTTGAACTTGCCAGATGGTTTATACTTTTAAAGCATAGACAGATAGCTAATTATGGGGATACAAATGCTGAGCAAATCTATAATTGAAATCAAGATTTTGATGTTTAGTCGAATAATAAGTTTGGATTGTCAATTGTTGAGATTATTAACTCTGAGATGATTGATTGTCTATCACAGCCCCTGAATACATTAATTGAATTAAGACTGGTTCAACCCCTAAATATATTAATACGGAGAGATTATTACGTGCGGTCACCGAACCGTTCATAGGCCACAAGACACGCCACGTCACCCGATACACAACATTACATAATAACGGTACAGTAAATTAGTGATGTGGTGCATCCTCATTGGCCTCTGGATGACTTCCGGTAACCGCACATAATAATTTTGCATTAATTTGAGGGTGAGTGTTGGGATATCTACGGCATGATAATTTTTCACTCAACAATTTGTTCATTTATATGATTAATTTTATAGTAATTCTTCCTTAATTTTAGGACTAGTAGTTGATTTTATTTGACACTTACAAATATGTTTTTTCTATTATTTAGATAAAAATTCAATTTTTATTATAGAATAATATACAATTGAGATTATTTTGTTAGAAAATCACGAACTTAATAAGGAAATATAATTAAAAATATTAGTGTTTTAGGAAGTTTGCCAAAAGATCTTTTATAGGTTAGAAAACAAGTAGTTGCATTTGGTGCATATTAAATTGTTGCTTGAAGGGGTCTATGAAGAACTTGAACTTGACTGAGGCTGAGCTTGACTCAACAATTAAATGATGTTCAATATAGGTTTCGTTTGTGACAGCTTTTTTACTACTTCTTAAAGCATTTTTTTAATATAATTTTTTTAATTATGATATTTTTATTAGTCAGAGACGTGCATAGACTGAAATCCAAGCTGTTATTTTGTTGCATGACTTTTGGTATAAACTAAAGGTTGAAATGATTGGCCAAAATTATTCATATTTGCAAATTATTATTTAATTTTGTCCATATTTGCAAATTATTATTTAACTTTGTCCCTTTGTGGATAATAACTTCAAGTTGTTTTTAATTATCATAATGTGTCATAATATTAATTTAATCTTATAGAAATTCTATTTGATATTATTTTGGATGAATTAGCGATGTGAGTGAGTCGAGTCGGCTCGTGAGTCAACTCAAATTGATTCAGTAAAGAGTTTATGAGGCAAATTTATCGAGTGTGAGTTTGAGCACGAGCATATACTTGAGCTCAGCTTGGCTCAATTCATGAGCTTGTTGAGCCGCTCATTAAAATTTAAATAAATTTCAAAATTAATTTTAGAACAATATAATGAATATATACTAATTATTTTTATTTTTTTCTCGAATCAAGATCGAGCTT